AAAATAGACAGTAGCATAATAATTGTAGGGTACTTGAGTAGTTATTTAATTTTTTCTGTGTGGTGGATTTTGTTACAAATGCCCCACTCACACACACACACACACATATTCTTTAAAGGGCTGTGGTTTTCGTGAAGATTATACAAAACACTTTTGGTTGTCACAACTGGTGACAGGAGGGCTGCTGCCGACATCTAGGGTAGTGCCCGTGAACAGTGCTGAACATCGTACAGTGCACAGGGCAGCCCTCCCACGACAAGAAATTATCCAACTTAAAATGTCAGTAGTGCTGAGGCTGAGAAATCCTGAACTCAGAGCCTGTGCTTTTGGCCTGGAGGGATGGGGAATGTCAGTGAGCAGAACAAAATAGAAAAGGGCCACCCCGAGGGCCTTGAGTGGGAAGGGGATGGGATTTCTATGCTCAGGATAATGGAGAATGGGGCAGCTGGTGAGACTTCTCTTTCTTCCAAGCTTGGCCAAGGCCCTGCTCAATTTCTTCCAGCCTTGCCAAGTCAGTCCTGGGACTTCACACTAAGCTTGTCCTGGAGTGACCCTGACTCCCAACTCAGGGTTGGGGCAAAATATTTACGGAGGTCTTCCTGCAGGACTTCCTAGCCAATGCCCCTGGTTTCTAGGGCTAGTATGTTCCATCTGCAGTCCTGGAGTAGCTCCAGTTAACACTCTTGCTGTGGGGTGCAGTCATGTGGGCAAGGTACTGCTGAAAGTAAAAAATACGGCATTCAAAGGAGCAGGTGGCATGTGAGAACAGTCAGAAATGGAGTGAATGGGCAAAGCCAGGAGGATTCCCTTAGCAGTGCCCTGTCTGAGAAAGACCAGGACAGCTTGAGCAGGGCATAAGGGGCAGCTGGCCTGGGTAGCAGGGTTCTAACCCCTAGGGTTTGCTCTTCACAGCCATTCCTTTCCCCTGGGCTCAGTCCTCAGCTTCACGGTGCCTTCCCCAGTACCCACTCCTGGAGTACTCACACACCCAGCCAGCCGCTATTCTGGGCCTCCCCAATACTGGCCTCCCCCCTAGACCAGGGAGGACAAGGCTGAGCTGACTGTGCTGACAGGAAATACCTCTCGTTCCAAGCCCAGAACCTCTGAAGGAGCGGTTGGGAGTTGGGGTGGAGAGGAGAAAGAGTGATGGAGAAAAAAAAGATCATGCAATCATGTCCCCTAAATTTGGGGTTCCATTTTCTTCCTTCCCTCACTATTCTGGGAGGGGGGGTGGATAAGGGGATGGAGGAGGGCAGGCAAGGAGGAGGATGTGGTAACAGCTGATTCGTCCCCAGAGGTCACACTTTCCAACAATCAGCTGTTACTGGGCAGGAAGGCAGGAAGTCTCCTTAAAGGCACAATGTTCTGAACACAGGCTCAGAATTCTGGAGCTCCAAAGAATCTTATCAATTACATGGTGGAGCCCTATTTCACACAGAAGGAACTATCTTAAACTCCAAGTTCATCTCTTGGTTCAGTGACCCTCACCACCTATTTGGAGCCATATGTTTTTCTGGTGGGGGACGGTGGGAGGGAGGAGTGA